GGGGGGGGGGGCCGTGTCGGGGTGGAGGCCAGGGAGACGCGGGTTCGAGTCAGGGGCCCGAGCTGTCTGCAGTCCCTCCCCTCGGCGGGGCTGCGGGGGCCTCCTGGCTGGGCCTGAACCCTGAGCACAACCCTGAGCACGTCTTCCCTTCTCCGGCTTCAGAGAGGCTGCCCGGGGCGGGGGGCGGTGAGGGGTGCTGACCCCGGGCTTGGTGGACAGATGCTGGGCTGCCCAGGTACAGGGGTCTGGGGAGCAGTCCTGCAGGGGCTAGAGGTCACCAGGTCACCCCGGGACCCACCTTGAGACGGAGAGTCAAACAGGCAAGTGGGAGCCGGGGGGGAGGCTCCACCTGGGGGAGCTTTGCAGCACAGCCCCCCTAGCTCTGGGGGGCAGCCCCGGGACCTCTCCAGCTGGGCCCCCAGAGAAGGCAGACAGCTCAGAGGCGCCTCTTCCCTTTCCTTCTGCCCCTTGGTCAGTTTCCTGCTCCCAAAGCACCCCCTCCTCCCACCCAGTTTCCCCCACGCTCTCAGCCCCCCACCGGGGTGCTGATTGTGGGTGTGTGGCAGGCTCCTAAGTACCCCGGGCGAGCCCAAGCCGAGGGGGACACCTGGGGGTACGCCAAGTGCACGTGCAGCCAGACCCCCCACCCCCACCCGTGGTCGGCCAAGGGCACAGGCAGGGGAGCAGGTGGTCAAAGCCGAGTTCTCAGCCCGGCCTCTCTGGGTCGTGCAGGCTGAAGGCAATACGGTGGACCCTTCATCTCTCTGAAGGGCCCAGAGCGGACAGCGAGGCACAAGGGTCAGGCAACTGTCAGACATCTGCAGACCCCAGGCTGTGTCCCCGCCAGCCGGGACCTCCCCAAGGCCGGAGGCGGGGGACGGGGTGGCCAAAGGAAGCAGCCCCCGCGGGAGGGCAGCCAGGCCCAGGCAGGCAGGTCGGGGAGGGGGGTAGCGTGGGGACTGGAGATCTCAGCGTGGATGGCCCCACGGCAGGCCCCCCGAAGCACCCACCCTCAGCTTGGGAGCAAGGCTCCCAAGTTAGGGAGGGTCTCAGCTTTCCCAGATGGGCTCTGCCGGCCCCGGTGGACAGACTCAGAGAAGCCAGGGGCTCAGCCTGCCGGGGACGTCCGCTCACCACCAGGCCTCCCCATCACGGCCGCCCTCAGCTCCTGCGTCGGGTCCCCAGACAGCCAGGGCACTGGTGGGGTCCGGGTGCTGTCCCTGGCTGGCGTCGGCCCCCACGGCCCCCGTACCCTCGGCCCCCGCCTCCCCAGAGGAGCAGAGGGAGGGTGAGGGAGGCAAGGGCCCCTGGCCGGACCCTTAGAGAGGACACACTGGGCCTGTACCCCTCTCCCTCGCCCTCCTGTCTGTCTTCCTCCCGACGGCCAGGCCGGCTGCTCGCATGGCGTCCACCGTGGGGCACGGCTGCCCGGGCCTCGCACACGATGTCCAGTTCCTATTTCTGCCCGGCACAGAGGTGGGGTGGTCAGAGGGGACCAGGCGCCTGGACAGGGGGTGCCTCCTCTCTTCCTCCTCGATCCCCCGAGGACGCCGTGCCCCTGGAGTCCGTTCCCTCCTTCCTCCCTCGTTCCCCCTCCCGTGCCACATCCTGGTCCACACGCCCGAGCTCTCCTCCTGGGACCCCACAGGGACTTTCTCTTGCTGCTGGCGGGCAGGCATATGGGTGGTAGGCTCTGCTGGAGGGGGGAGAGGCAGGCGGGCGTCCAGGCAGGAGCCCCCAGCCCCCAGCCGGGTGGCCCCAAGGGGCCTGTGGGCAGGAGCAGGCCACCGGGCTCATCCGGTCTCTCTCCCCTCTCCCCATGCCGGCGCCGCGGTGTCCAGAGGAGAAACCGAGACCCAGGTGAGTGTGGGGCCCGGGCAGGGCTGGACACCAGGGTGGGCCGGAGGCAGGGGGCACCTGGGAAACTGGGGTCCCGTGGAAGACAACGCCTTTGGGCTCTGTAGGGGACGAAACCCCAAACCCCTTCGAGAAGGTGGCTGCTTCTTTGCTCCCTGGTTGCGTGTTTAAAGCTCTAGGCATCTGGTGAAGGTCCTTGATGAAAATGGGGTTATTTGGTGCCTTCCCCCCAGGCGGGGAGCAGAGACGATCGCTGGGGGGTACGGTGGGGCGTCCCCACCCATTCGCCCTGTGTGGGCAAGGAAGGCTTTCTGTAAGAGGAGGCTGGGGGGCCAAGGGAGGACGGGGAACAGGGGGTCGGGGGAGACAGGGCAGAGAGAGGGAGGCACAGCGGAGCTCCCCTGTTGCTCCCCGGCCCCCACTGCGCGCGGCCTGCGGTGGGGTTCTCCCGGCCCTAGACGTGGGGCACCCTTGAGAGGGGCTGGAGGGAGGGTCTTGCCCCGTGGCCCCTTCGGAAGAAAACCGCGAGTGGACCCACCGCCCCCACTGGGGCCTCTGGGGAGCCATCGTCCTGGTCTGGATGGTCTTTCTCTCCTTTGACCTGCTTGTGAGTATTTCAGGGATTTGTTTTTTTAACCCAAGTCTTCACCAGCACGTGCCCGGGGTTCGCGCCCACCTGGGGAGCGCTCCGGGGTCCGGGGGGCTGCGGCGCGCTCCGGCTACAGCCAGCATATTTCCACCCACTGCACTTTATTTTTCTGCTATTTTAAATAAAGCTGCCGGGTCACAAGATATTTTCTAGCTTTAAAAAAATGTTTGTGTTTTCATTATGAAAATAAAACACCTCATTAAAGAAAATTTGGAAAATACGTAAAAGTCCAACGAAGAAAGAAAATCATCTATAACTCTCCCCGCCCGCCAGCCAGACTGCGGGAAAAGGCAGAAAAGAATAAAAGCCTTACTTCTTCCTACTCTTTCCATGCATAGGGCTCGGAAAAAAAGATTGAAACTCTGAGCCGTTTTTCAAACATCGTACTGTCTACACAACCTTCAATTCTGCTTTTTTAAATTTTAGCACTATTCATAAGTATTTTTCCATGTTTTTACATAGCCTTCTTAAATATTTTGAATGGCCACATAATATTCCATCAATTGGACAAACCATAATTTCTGGAACCGTTCGCCTTCTGCGGGACGTTAAGGCTTCCCCCAATATTTTACTACCATAAATAACGCTGGGTGGAAAGCGTTTTCTGTCTTTCGGGTTATTTCCCTAGGCCACATTCCCAGAACTAGAATTACTGGGTCAAAGAGTATGAACGTCTTTCAGGCTTTTGACGTCCGTTGCCAAATTGCTTTCCACGGGGGCCGTGCCAGCGCGGGCTCCGACGTGGACGTGAGCGGGTCTGTGCCCCACGCTGCCGCGCCCGGGGACACTGATGGATGAGGAGGGCCTCTCGGGGCCGCTTCTGCTCCCATGCCTCCGATTACTCTGGGAGAGCCTCTCCCGCGCACTGCCTCACTGGCCGTCTTTCTTACCGAGACCTGGCATCGTGCACCTTCTGCCCATTTATCTAACGGCAAAGGCGTCTGCACGTTTTCTCAGCCATCGGTTTGCACAAGGATATAAGTCTTCTCTGTACTCGCTGAAAATATTTTTCTAGTCTGGGTTGGGCTCCCCCCCCCTTCCAATTTTTGCTTTTTTTTTCACATACATAAGTTTTTCATTTGCGTGGAGTCGTCTGGCCATCTTTCCCTTAGCGGGACCTTCTGGTGCTGCCGAGCTTAGAAAACCCTCTCCTGTTCCAGCATTTGGGTCCATATTCAGACCCACTTTCTTCTGTGGCTTGTTTTAAACAACTGTTGTTGTTGTCGTAACTCTTTGCTCCATCTGGAAAGCACTGGGGGCAGGGCCCGGGATCCGGGGGCCTCGTTTCTTCCTCAAACTGCTTTCTGTCCAGCCCCCTTTCTTTGGGTCCCCAGGAAGACAGTTTAAAGAGGGGCCGGAGACACAAAAAGGGTCAGGATGGCCGTTCCCGACCACAGAGGCCAACGCCCCTCAGGGGTCTGCAGTGGCCAGCCTGTGTCTGGTCTGGCCTGCCTGCACTTCTTTCTTTGTTTGAGAAAGAAGGAGAGAGTGCCCTTCCTGGACAGACGGGGGTGAAACAGCCCTTTCGATGTCCAGATGTTGGCAAAACAGAGGGACGCAAAGAGGCTGAACTCTTCTCAAAGGGGTCAGGCTGCTCTGGGGACAGTGGGTTACACGCCTGACCAGGACACACACACTTGTCCTCAGCTGTCACCCAGGGGGAAGGGTGGGAAGGCCAGACCCCTGGTAGGTCTCTACCTACCCCTGCTCACAAGCCTCTCTCTTCTTCAGACTCACTGCTCCTAAGATCCCGGAAGGGGAGAAAGTAGACTTCGATGTAAGTTTATGGGACCCGGATCAACATGGCCTCCATTCTCAGACCCCCCAGCTTTCAGCCTACAGACAAGGCCTGGGAAGGTCATCTGCTCTCAAGCAGCCAGAGCCAGAACCTCCTGGTTCCAGGAAACTCTGCCTTAATTTATTTCTGGACCAAAGGAAACTCCCACAGTGTCAAGCATCTCTCTTCCCTCCTCTCCCATCCACCCACCCATCCATCCACCCATCTGTCCATCAATCTGTCCACCATCCATCTACCCATCCATCCATCCATTCACTCATCCATCCACCCATCCAACCACCCATCTGTCCACCATCCATCTACCCATCCAACCATCCATTCACTCATCCATCCACCCATCCAACCACCCATCTGTCCACCATCCATCCACCCATCCATCTTTTCACCCACCCATCCATCTGTCTATTCAATAAACTACCTCACTCACCAGTTTCCTCTCTGTCTGGCCCATGTGGAACATCTCTGAGGATGATAACGGGGCCAAGTCAGAGCCAGTCCATCCCAGAAGTGCTGATGACCTCAGGGCTTTGCTTTGCGGGGCCCCAATTTACCCACAGGGAGGGCAAAATTCCTACCCTGGGGCTAAAGGATCAGGTCGCCTTTGGGCCTCAGGAGGGCAATGGCCATGGGAACATGGGGAGGGCAAAACGTCCCTGGTCACCCTCGTGTTGGCCAGAGGAGACAGGGTGCCCCTGCCGGAGCACGGGAAGGGGCCGCCTGCCGCGCGGGGGGGTCAGGCGGGAGGAGCTGGAGACGAGGGGCCTCTTCCACCCACAGGACATCCAGAAGAAGCGCCAGAACAAGGACCTCATGGAGCTGCAGGCTCTCATCGACAGCCACTTTGAGGCTCGGAAGAAGGAGGAGGAGGAGCTGATCGCTCTCAAGGAGAGAATCGTGAGTCGGGGCCCTTCTGGGGGAAGGCGGGGGCGGGCGGTCGCCCCGGGGAAGGGGGCGCTGGGGCTGGCGAGGCGAGGTTGACCTGCTCCTCCCGCCACAGGAGAAGCGCCGTGCGGAGCGAGCCGAGCAGCAGAGGATCCGGGCCGAGAAGGAGCGGGAGCGCCAGAACCGGCTGGCGGTGAGCCAGGGGCCCCTTCCCCGCCCCGGACCCCGTGCCCGCCGGCGACCTGGGCCACCGGCCGGGCTCCCCCTGTCCTGTGCGGCTGCTCCGGGCGGGCCCTCGAAGCCCGGCACTGAGGCCTCGGGGACGGGGTCTCTGCAGGAAGAGAAAGCCCGGAGGGAGGAGGAGGATGCCAAGAGGAGAGCGGAGGACGACCTGAAGAAGAAGAAGGCCCTGTCCTCCATGGGCGCCAACTACAGCAGCTACCTGGCCAAGGTGAGCGCGGGCCCTTGGAGCCGCGGCGCGGACCGGCCTCCTGTCGGGGTGCGGCGCACCCCTCCTGAGGCCGGGCCCCTCTGCCACGTCCCCTCAGGCCGACCAGAAGAGAGGCAAGAAGCAGACGGCCCGGGAGATGAAGAAGAAGGTTCTGGCAGAGAGGCGCAAGCCGCTCAACATCGACCATCTCAGCGAAGATAAGCTGAGGTGGGGCCGGGAGGGGGCGGGGCGCTGGTTCTCCCTGGCGACCCGAGGGGGGACAGCGGGTGGCCTGTGCCCCGCCTTCCGGCGCTTACCGGCCCTGCCGCACCTTTGCCGCCTTCCCAGGGACAAGGCCAAGGAACTCTGGGACACCCTGTACCAACTGGAGATCGACAAGTTCGAGTTTGGCGAGAAACTGAAGCGCCAGAAATATGACGTGAGTGCGGACACCTTGGCCCTCGGGTCCCGGGGCGGCCACCTCCCTGCACCCCCATGGCCTCGGCGCCCGGGACGCCCACGAGGGCCGTCCTCACGGGGCCTGGCTGCAGGCACCCTCTGGGGATGCCTCCGTGTCCCAAGCGGTCGGCCTCGCTCTGAGGGCCACAAGAGGAGCGGAGGGCAGAGGGGCCTCGGGGTCCAGGCTCCGAATCGCCCGGAGCCGGTGGACAGCTCGCCCCAGTATAGCACAATTTCCTCTAGCACCAGGGTGGCCTCCTGGGATCCCCTGGGGAGGCCCAGGCTCAGGTCCCCAAGCTGTCACCTCCTCGGGTCAGTGCAGGCAGGAGGGCACGCACCCCCCTCCAGCAGCTGGGAAAGGGGTCTGGGACTGAGTCCCAGGCAGGGTGGCTGCCTAGAGCCGCCCGGGCAGGGTTCACAACTCGGAACAGCGGCCCTGTGCAGATTCTGTCTCCCTGACGCCCCTCCAGCCCCGGGGAGGGGGCGCCGTCCTGGTGGCTGGGAGCTAACCTGCCCTGTGCACACGCGACCCCGCCAGCTTCACCATCAGGGGCATGGTCCCCGCCGTCCGCTGTCCTCCAGGGTCCCTGGCGGGAGACGGCGCACACCCCAGGGGCATCTCCCACGGCTGTCGGCACAGGCCGCCAGGAAAGCGGGGGTCCGGTGACTGGAGAATGCGGCTCCTTCTCGGGAGCCGCGCCGTAGGGCAATTCGCCTGGTCCGTCTCAGTTTCCTCACCTCTCCTAGAAGGAGGAGGGGCACCGGGGCCGCCCGCGGAGCACGCGTGTCCCTTCCGCGCCCAGGGTCAGGGACACCGCCGTCCTCTCCTGACGTGCCTCCGGGAGGCCCGGCGTGAAGGAGGGGGCTTCACCCGCACACGGCCCCCCTCGGGGTCCAGGGAGTCGAGTCGGGCACCCAGTGCCTCCCGACACACCTGTGAGCCACCCGCAGTGGGTCCCCAGGGGCTGGAAGAGCCACAAGGGCCCCCGCCTGGGCTAGCCCAGCACGCGGCAGGGCCCCGAAGCCTCAGCCACCCACCCAGCCCGCTAACCATCTCGGTCTTTCTAGATCATGAACATGCGGGCCAGAGTGGAGATGCTGGCCAAGTTGTAAGTAGCCAGGGTCCACCCTGGACCGGGCTCGTGGTGTGCAATGCACGGTGAGCCTCTCGCATGGCAAGCCTGGTTCGTGGAGGATGGCAGCGGAGGGCACGGGGACGGAGGCCGGCCTCCCGACCCCACCTCCTCCCCACCACCTGCAGCCCGCGGCTTCCGAGGTCGCCCTGCCGCCCTTGCCGGCAGGCGGGGAAGGGCCTTGCCCGCCCCAGCCAAGCCTCTCCGGGCAGTCAGGAGGAGGGAGCGAGAGGGCCAGCTCCGACCGCCGGAGTCGGGGGCTCTGCGAGGCTCGCCTCCCTCCCCACGCCCCCGCCCCGCATCCTGCCGCAGGCCCGCAGGTAAGTGGCCGGCTCCAGAGTGGCTGCGTGCGTCTCAGCCCAGGTCTCCAGCTCAGGCCGCCCAAAGTAAGTCAGAGGCACGAGCCCCGGGGCCGAGGGCCGCTGCCTTCCGAGCCGAGGAGCCAGGACGCAGTAAGGCAGCAAGGCCTCAGGTGAAGAGGGCCACCGGCCCGGCCCTGCTCGAACTGCCAGGTAAGCCACCCGTATTCTTCACAGATCACCAACCTCAGGAGCCGCATCGATCAGGCCCAGAAGCAGTGAGTAACCCCCCCTGCCCGTCGCTCTGTGCCGGGCACACGGTGCCAGGGGGCTGGCCGGCTGCCGCCCCCCTGACCGGGGCCCGGCGCTTTCAGCCGGTCCCAGGGGCCACCGCCCTCGACGGTAACAACACTAACTGGTGGGCCACTGGCGCCCGCGTGTCTGGAACCCGCACCCCCGGGCCCGCAGCCTCCTCTGGCCCCTCCTCACCCCAGAGCCCCGGGAGGAGGCCGCCTGGGGATTTGGGCCGTCCTGGGCCGCCACCCCGACTCCCCAGCCGAGCGTTGCTCCAGATGCAACCTGCTCGGCTGCGGGCCTCCCTGGCCCCCGTTTCTTCAGACGGTGAGCCCTCCGTCTGCAAAATCACCCGAGGTCCGTGGGACCCACGACCACAGGCGCCAGGAAAGGCCTGGAGGAGCCCGCCACCCCCAGGGTGGGCGCTGCAGTGCCCCCTGTGCTGGGGTTTTGCCTCCCAGTCTGATCGCTGAGCCCATTCACACCCCCACGGAGGGCAGCGTCCCCAGGACCGCCTGCCGTCGGGTTTCTCTCCCTCCTCCACTGTCCCCTGACTCCTTGCTGCTCCCAGGGCTGGGCTCCTCCGCCCCAGGGGACTGGCCAAGGGGACACCCTCCTCCCTGGGCTCTGTCATGGGGGTTGTGGCAGGCCTCGTGAGAGCCCTTCCGTGTGTGCCTGTGTGTGTGCGTGCATGTGCGTGAGGGTTCTCAGGCTGGCCCCTGCAGGACGCGGGCCACGGGCACGGCCACCAGCACCAGGGTCTCCCCTGAAGCCACAGCCAGAAGTTGTCCCCGGAGCGTCAGCTTCTGGGACCTTGACCCAGCACCCAGCTCCCTGCTGGCTGCCTGATGTGCAAAGTCAGTCAGACACAGCAGGCTCCTAAGGACTGCCATCTGGCAGGGCACTGACCTCCCAGGGCCCGAGTCCACGAGGCCTGGCCTGCTGGCCCGGGGTCAGGGAACAAGGGACTGTCCTCAGCCTGTCCCACCTCAGGAAGGCTGTGATCTGGGACGCACGGCACAGGCTCTTTCCAGGCCAAAGTAGCTGGGACAGTGAGAGCCATCTGTCCAGATAGCTTCCCTGGCAGGCTCCAGTCTGCCTGAGGGTGGCCCTCCGGAGCCCGAGCCCCTGGCAGGGGTTGGGGGGTGCCCTGGGCTCGCCGTTCCCTCCACTAACCACACTAACCGTCCTGGCACAAGGCGCCCAGGCCCAGCCGGGCCAAATGCAGGTGAGTCACCACTGCTTGAAATGTGTGCCCGGGGCTTGGGTGGGTGGGCTGAGCTGTCGGGGCCGGGGGGCTGCCGGGGGCGGGGGGGGGGGGC